ATTCCTGCTATCAGGTTCTTGAGGGCCATCTCTGTCCTCTTGGGCCACAACTGTTTCCCCCCCCACACCAGGCAGTGCTGGCACGTGGTAGGTGCTGAGATGTCTGCTGAATGAGGAAATGAGCCTGAAATAAGACTACCACCTTCCACCTCACCAGACAGGTTGTGTGAAATTGCCCTGTTGTTGCCCTGTTGAAACACCAGTGACCCCCAGGCGACCCGTATCAGGGCTCCGAGCTGGACAGTGTCCCAGCCTGTCAGCAGCATGGCTCCCACTCTCCACTAGCACCAGGACTCTTCTTTTATTTATTTATTTATAAAATTATTTATTTTTGGGTGTGTTGGGTCTTCATTTCTGTGCAAGGGCTTTCTCTAGTTGCGGCGAGCGGGGGCCACTCTTCAGCGCGGTGCACGGGCCTCTCACTGTCGCGGCCTCTCTTGTTGTGGAGCACAGGCTCCAGACGCGCAGGCTCAGTAGTTGTGGCTCGTGGGCTCTAGAGCACAGGCTCAGTAGTTGTGGCTCATGGGCCTAGTTGCTCCGAGGCATGTGGGATCCTTCCAGACCAGGGCTCGAATCTGTATCCCCTGCATTGGCAGGCGGACTCTCAACCACTGCACCACCAGGGAAGGCCGGGACTCTTCTTTTAGTGCTCCTCCTGCTTCCCTGATCACCCCTCCTCGATTTCCTATGCGGGAGCCTCCAAACTTATCACTCCCGCACTTCATTTGGGCGTCTGTCCCTTCCCAGGGGCCTCCTGGATGCCCCGTGTAAAACAACATCTTCCCCAACCACTGCCCCACAGCTGCATCTCTGCACTAAGCTTTAAGCCTCTTCATGGCAATAAAAAATAATCACAGTATCTATCTGTTGTGTTGTCTGTCTCCTCCGGTTAGGAAGGTCATAAGAGTAGAAACTTCTTTTCCTCTTGTTCACTGCTCTTTACCCTCAACAAGGCCTGACCTGTGGTTGGCACCCCATTCACGGATTCGACAAATATTTATTGAGTGCCTACTTTGTATAATAACTATATAAAATATATAATGTGCTGGAGGGAGCTTAGTGCTGTGGAAAAAACAGAGCAAGGGAAGAGTGATGAGGAATGCTGGGGGTGGGTTCATTGCAACTTTTAAATAGCAGGGCTGGGGGATTCCTCACGTAGGAGGTGATGTTTTAGCAAACACTTGAAGGAGGTGAGGAAGAGAGCCAGGCACCACATCTGGGGAAAGAACAATCCAGGGGAGGGAGAAGCAGCAGTTGCAAATGGCCTGAGGCAGGGGCACGTTCAGGGAGTAGTAAGGAGGGAGCATGGCTGGAGTGGAGTTGTCAGGGGAGGGCGGTATTGGAAGAAGTGAAACTGAAGTCAGGAGACCGTGGTTTTAAATCTCTAAAACCAATCAGCCTTATGTAGGTATCACTTACATACGATAAAACATGCCCATTTTAAGTGTACGGTTTGATGACTTTTTAATTTTTTTTTTTTTTTTTTTTTTTTTCTTTTTCAGTACGCGGGCCTCTCACTGCTGTGCCCTCTCCCATCGGTGGAGCACAGGCTCCAGACACGCAGGCTCAGCGGCCGTGGCTCACGGGCCCAGGCGCTCCGTTGCATGTGGGATCTTCCCAGACCGGGGCACGAACCCGTGTCCCCTGCATCGGCAGGCAGACTCTCAACCACTGCACCACCAGGGAAGCCCGACTTTTTAATTTTATTTTTGGTTGCATTGGGTCTTCATTGCTGCATGTGGGCTTTCTCTAGTTGCGGCGAGCGGGGGCTACTCTTCGTTGCGGTGCATGGGCTTCTCATTGAGGTGGCTTCTTTCGTTGCGGAGCACGGGCTGTAGGCACGTGGGCATCAGTAGTTGCAGCACGCAGGCTCTAGGGTGCATGGGCTTCAGTAGTTGTGGCTCGCGGGCTCTGTAGTTGTGGCGCACGGGCTTAGTTGCTCCGTGGCCTGTGGGATCTTCCCGGACCAGGGCTCAAACCTGTGTCCCCTGCGTTGGCAGGCGGATTCTTAACCACTGCACCACCAGGGAAGTCCCAGCTTGATGAGTTTTGACCAAGGAAACCACTGCCTTGATAAGGTTAGAACATTTTCATTGCCCCCAAAAGTTCTTTGTCTCCCCACCGTCAACCCTCCATCTCTCACCGAACTGTTTTTTGATGCCACGGATTCATTTTGCCTGTTCTAGAACTTCATTTAAATGGACTCATGCAATATGTACTCTTCTGGGTGTGGCTCATTTCACTCAGCATAAAGTTTTTGCGATTTGTCCATGTTGCGTTTATCAATAGTTCCTTTGCGTTGCTGAGTGGAATCCCACTGTGTGTTTGTAGCACAGCTTATTTACCGAGAACCCTGTTGATGGACACCTGGGCCATTTAGTTACTTACAGCTATGAACATTTGTGTACAGGTGTTTGTTGGATGTATGTTTTCATGTCAAACCTTTTGCTCATTCTTTTAATTGACTTACTGACTTATTGAGTTGGGATTCTTTATACATATACTGGAGAAGTCTTCACTCTGGCACTGGTTTTGTGAATATTTTCTCACAGCTGTGGTTGGCGTTTTCATTTTCTTAACAGTATCTTTCAAGGAGCAGATGTTTCTAATTTTGATGAAGTCCAGTTTATCCATTCTTTTCTTATATGGTTGGTGTCATGTCTAAGAAATATTTGCCTACCCTCAGGCTGTGAAGGTGTTCATCTATTTATTTATTTTTCCTAGAAATTCTTTAGTTTTAACTTTTATGTTCAGGTCCAGAACTGGGTTTTGAGCAAAGAGCCGATGTGACCTAACTTAATGTGCTAATAGCATCACTGTGCTGTTTTGAGATGAGACTGGTGGGCAGAGTGCAGCCTTGAGGATGTTTGCAAGGAGGCTACTGCAACGATCCAGGCTGGGAGCCGCCGGGCAGAGTGGAGGTGGAAGTCATCCCCCTTAATGAGTAATATCCAACTTTCAGGAAAGTTATTTCCCTACTCTGAAGACCCTTATACTCGTAGTTTTACCTGAGGCTTAGTGTATGTACACAACTTGCCTTGAGCCTGAATGTTCACAATGCATTTAACTTATCTTCACTTTTTAAAAATAAATAACTGGTTTTGAGTTTTATTCCACACATTGTCATTCTTCAGGCATGGCAGCCCCCAAAACAATATGACAATTCATCTATTCATTCACAAAAGATTAAAAAAAGGAAAGCAACACATTTCTTGCCATGCTCCACAATATTTCTGCTGGGTAGGACTCATAAATCCATGTCTCTGCCTTGGCCACGTCAACTCATGTCTTATCCTTTCTTTAACTCATGATTTATTGCTCCCAGTTACTCCTTTTGCCAGATTTATAAACGTAACTGTTCTTTATTTAATACCTATTTTGTACACTAGGCAACAAGACAGTAAATTTATTGTCTATGAGTTGCTACTTTGAAAAATTACATCAATGCAAAGTGATTGTCTTTCAGCCTTCATAGCCAATAAATTTATTTATTTATTTTTGTAGGGGATGATATGAGGTCATAGGATAATATATATAATCGCTGATCACAGAATGAGAAGGAGCAAGTTGCAGTCAAATGCTCTACCACTGAGCTATATCCCCGAGAAGAAGCAAGTTGAAAGTTCTGACAAACAGAAGCCGAGAAGGAAGACTTCTGCCTCCTGCCAATCATGTATAAGCTGGTCTCCTGCTGTTTGCTTTTCATAGGATGCTTAAATCCTCTCTGGTCTCTTCCTGTCCTTGACTCCAGGGAAGAGCCCCTGCAGCTCTCAGGTAAAATGATTTATTTCCCTTATGTCAGCCTTGAAAGAGTCTTCAAGGGTCTTAAATGCAATGTTAGAGATAAGAATGAAAATTCTTTCTTAAAGGAGTCTTGTGAAATTACTAGTCCCAGCTATGAAAAGAATTCTGAGGGTCCTTACAAAACATCTCAGAATCAGTAATGGATAGGTTTTTTTTTCCTTTCTAAAATGTAAAAGTACAAGGGTAACATTGCTTATTTAATGTCACTTCTATATTTCTAAGTTATTTTGATCAGCTTTTTTTTTTTCAATTTTGAAAATGGCACTAAATTTAAAACATCATTGCTTTTCGTTTCTATTTTAAATGAACTGGATGAATGCAGAATTGGTTGTTCCAATTATAGGTTAAAATATTTTTATTGTATCTTATTTTAAGCTAAAAAGTAATCATCTGACATGTGTTATATGAAACAAAAATGTTTATTAAAAAATAAAGAAGTGACTAGCTGGGGCTAGGGATGACACAGATTTCCAAGTACATTTATGTTTTCCTTTTGATTGATGTTTCATTCAGTTCAATTCTAAGTGGAATTCTCTTAAAGTGTATCAGTCAAGCAGATACTTATTGTGCTGTTAGCTCTTAATTTAGTTTAAGAAACGAAAAGGTTGGTGCTTGGGTATTAGGTTCATAACCATTTTAACTTGTCCTTAATTGTGGATACTTTAGACATTTTTTTTAATAAAGGAAAAATCTCTTCTAAGCCATTGATTTTATAATTTCTACTCTCTAAAGTTTCTCTCAAGCAGCTTTCTGATAATGTCAAGCTCTAATTCATGCACTATCAGTCAACTTCCACAGTCACTGAACTCATAAGTGGCAGTCATCTTAATGGCTAAATCGGGCATTAACTTTATTGAATCTCTGCTATTTAAAAAAAAGAACAGTGAAAAGCATAAGATGAAACCAAGAATGAACATTCAGATATTACTGTCATCCTCAAAAATTTACATATCATGATTATGATTTTTCCAAACTTAGATGAGTGTAGCATCTCACTTAAATTCTTTTTTTTTTTCTTTTTGGCGGTACGCAGGCCTCTCACTGTTGCGGCCTCTCCCGTTGCGGAGCACAGGCTCCGGACGCGCAGGCTCAGCGGCCATGGCTCACGGGCCCAGCCACTCCGCAGCATGTGGGATCTTCCCGGACCGGGGCACGAACCCGCGTCCCCTGCATCGGCAGGCGGACTCTCAACCACTGCGCCACCAGGGAAGCCCCTCACTTAAATCCTTAACAGGTGGCAGCTTACATTAGAGTTTTTGCCTGAAATTTTTTCCTACTTATTTGTTTCTCCATAAATGATCCTTCATGACATAAACATTGATGTGTGACCAAATTTTATAGATTTCTCATTAATATTCTTCAGAAGTCCTGTGAATGTGCCCAGAAGCCTTCACAATGGCTTTTGCTCTTTGTTTTCCAATCAAGGTTGTAGCTGAGGATTTGGAAGCCTTAGTGAAGCAAGTGGATAGTACAGGACTCCCCAGAAGCTCCGATCTCTCCACTGTGGCACCTGGCCAAGACTGCTCTGCCAGGGTCCAGAGTCTGCTCACCAGACCTCACACTCACTTCCCACACACCTTGCACACACTTCCCATGCATCTTCTATGCCACTAAGCTGACCAGATTTCACCCTGAAAATGTTGCTATCAACTTCTTTAAAGAGTATTTTAAAGCTGGCTCTTTCCTGACAATTGTTTCTAAATCTTGGAGGCCAGGCAGATAAGAGGTGATGCCATCCTATTTGCTTTACAGGAAGAACCTTAACAATCCTGTCTTTTAGAAAACCACTCCTTCATTTTTCCTCTCACTCCAATTTCACCACCCATATGTCTAAAAGCAAAAGGCAAAAGGCAGCAGTAGGTGAATAGAAGTAAGGAAGAATCACTTTGTAAGTGCAAGTGCTGTTCAAGGCAGTGAACAGCCTGGCAAGGCCACACAGGCAGGAGGAATCAGAATGAGAGTCACACGCTTGATTTCCTGTTCTGCTGGCTTGTGAACTGGACTGTAGCATTTCCACTTCTCGGTTAAAATACTACTGGCGACAAACCCGGAACTTAGTATTTGAAGTTTTTCTAGTATTATCTCCTAGTCCCTGGTACCCCACAAAAGGCAATAAGGAGCAGAAGTGATTGAAGAAACAGCTGAGTTGCTAAGATCTGTCTCTACTCTGTGTAGCACCTGAAGATGTCGAATCAAATTCGGATGAGCTGGAAAGAGCTTCCATCCTGCAGATGCTGCCAGAGATGTCAGGTGCAGAGACAGGAGATGGTCTTAGGAAAGCAGGTAAAATGATTCTTGTGTTTACAGCCTGATTTTATTTGATTGTTTTATTTTATTTAATTTTTTTGCGGTACGCGGGCCTCTCACTGCTGTGGCCTCGCCCGTTGCGGAGCACAGGCTCCGGACGCGCAGGCTCAGCGGCCATGGCTCACGGGCCCAGCCGCTCCGCAGCATGTGGGATCTGCCCGGACCGCGGAACGAACCCGCGTCCCCTGGATCGGCAGGCAGACTCCCAACCGCTGCACCACCCGGGAAGCCCCCGGGAAGCCCCCAACCTGTCTGATTTTTTTGCCACTGAACTTACTCCCTGTGCTCATGAATCAGATGAGGTAAAATCCTACTTTGGAATATAAAGATCACCTATATAAAATGAGTTAGTTACCCAACGCTCCCCCCTCCGGGCATAAAGACTTCCTCTGACATCTTCTGTTTTCTTTTTCTCAGCAACTCCTTCCAAGCATCCTGCTCTGCTTGGTCCCTCAGTATATCTGTTCTCTGTAGGGACTTTGAGTTTGGGGGGAAGGAGGGCATTATCCCAGTTTTCAATAAGTGAAGTTTACAATCCCAGTTTCCCACTTACTCAAGTCTTAAGCAAATTACTTTATCTGTAACTCAGTTTCTTAAACCAGTAAACGGAATGATAAAAATGCCCATCTCATGGGGTTATTGTGAAGTTCAGTCAATGAGAAAATGCAAGTAAAATGTTCAGCACAGTGGCACACAAAGTAATCCATGAAATGGCAGCTTTTACTATTTTCTCTGTCACTGTATTCCTCCCAGCACTGATAGAAATGCTCAGGACATTCTGGAAACAAAATGGAGTCTTTTAATAGACCTTGTTTAGTAGAAAGAATTTCACTTGTTATAAAATATTTTTGAGAAACTACTGAACTGCTAACTCAGGAAAATGCAGTGCCCTTTGTGAATTCCGGAAGCGAGAAAGAACCAGGTGCCTGCCTATCTTCCTTCAAGTAAATATCACTGTGGTGTGAAAAAAAGGAAAATCAGAAACTAGACGTGATTTAGGAATATTCTATTTTGTGTTTTAAATAAGACAAGTGTAAAATGGAAATAATAGATCTGATGATGAATGGTTTCAAAATACTGTTTTCCAGATCTCGGTACCAACATTTTTTACCCAAGAGGAAGTGTGAGAAAGGTAAGTAGCTCCATCATGAGAATTACGTTACAAAAGTGAGCATGCTATGCCGTGACTGTAGAGGAGCCTCAATTCATGAGCCAGTCGAGCATTTTCGGTAGAAATCACACCTTAGAATAACTGGTCAGTCAGTATTACTTCAAAGCATGTTCCAAATTTTGATCCATATAAATGTGGATGCAACAAGAGCTTATACAGTGCCCATTCTGGATAAATTATTATAACGAGTTTAAGAGAATAAAAAATAGATAAGGCCCCTGTCCTCAAGTTTGTCATCCACTTGTGCTGTGTCATTGATCATCTTCACGTGGTCCGAGGGCCAGCAGTATTGGTATCATGTGGAAGCTTGTGAGAAATGCAGACTCTCAGACCCCGCCCCCCAGCACCTACTGAATCAAAATCTGCATCTTACCAAGATTCCCCAGGTGATTCTTATGCACATTAAATAAAGTATGAAAAGCACTGCCATATGATGTCTAAATAGAAGAAAGACACGGTCAAAACCCTGAGATGTCATATGTATGATAGAGCAGAATATGAAGGAAATCATTTTGGGTGCAGGAGACAGACTGTGATTGGGATTGATGAATGATAATATTAAATGGTTAGAAATGATGCACAGTTAATGGAGGACCTTAAACACTAAAAGAAAAATCTGTATTTGATCATTATCAACCCCTCAAACTCTAAATTAGTGTCTCCTAAAGGGCTTTCCAGGTATACCAGTCCCACGAGCCAGCCTAGAGTGACGCCCTGGGTTCTGGCCCCTCTCCCATCCTGGTAATTCTTTATGTACATTATTAGCATGTTAAAGCCTCCAGGAAATGAGATAAGCATATTTAATTTTAACCAATCATTTCCCAAATATTTTGACTGGAGACACCTTTTTTTGGTGTAGCACCCATTTCCATCCTTATAAAAATATACTCTGGAATCCCTCAATTCTGAAGATGTCATACACCACCTGAGGCCACAGGGCAGGTAAACCATCCAGAAGGGGATGGGGATGGCTTCTACATTAAACGTTATCATTCAAATGTTTATATTGTTCCGAATAGAAGGGTTATGATGAAAGACTCTAAAATCATAAAGGTGATTAGCATTTACTCATGAAATCCCAGAAAAAAAAAAGTAAGGGTCCATGCTTAAAGAAGTTAATTTCAAGGCAAATAAAAGGCCTACTTTACAGAGAAGACAGTAAATGGGCAGAACATGTTACTGACAGATTTAAATAGAAATAGGTCAATAAGCATTTAGGAAAGTTCACGGCAATCACAGGGCTTAAACAGACTGGATGGACCACAGGTAGGGCACAAGGAGACCTTCCAGAGCCTACACGCTGGGCGCTCACCACAATTCTATCCCATAAAACAGCAAGAAAACACTTTTTAAAGGAACTAAGTTCCTATTAGTGTGTGTAGGACTCAATTCATTGATAACCTGTTTTTTTATTTGGATTGTTTTAATTTCAGGCTTTCTCAGGACAAGATCCTAACATTTTACTGAGTCACCTTTTAGCCAGAATCAGGAAACCATACAAGAAACGTGGAACTCCCTCTGAATGCTTCTGGAAATACTGTGTCTGAAGTGACATGAACATCTACTAGTCAACTCAAAACCAACCATCTTAGGAAAAGTAAAATAAAAACGCTTGATTTGAAAGCAGTATAGATGAAAAACTAGGCAAGCTATACCCTGTTCATTATTATTCGGAAAATAAATCCTCTATGTTTTACAAATATCATGAGTGGTTCTTTTACTTATAAACATATCCTGAAAATCTATCCATCAATTTATCTTTAAAGAATTATCTAAAAGTAAACAAATAAATGAAAAGAAGCAAATACTAAGAAGAAAAAATCATAAAAGTAAATTTTAGTTAAAACAGTAAAACTACAAATCATTTAACCTACATTATCTTAGTGATGATGTCTCTCAACCCTTAAAAATAACAACGTGAGATATTACTTAAAAAAAAAAAAAATCAGTATCTTAGCTTGGAAAAGCGTCCAAAGTGAAGGATGCTTAAAGATGAGGGCTAGGGGGCTTCCCTGATGGTGCAGTGGTTGAGAGTCCGCCTGCCGATGCAGGGGACACGGGTTCGTGCCCCGGTCCGGGAAGATCCCACATGCCGTGGAGCGGCTGGGCCTGTGAGCCATGGCCGCTGAGCCTGCGCGTCCGGAGCCTGTGCTCCGCAGAGGGAGGGGCCGCAGCGGTGAGAGGCCCGCGTACCGCAAAAAAAAAAAAAAAAAAAAAAAAAACAAAAAAAAAAGATTTTGCCAAAAAAAAAAAAAAAAAAAAAAAAAAAAAAAGATGAGGGCTGGGAACAGTCTGAATTCTCCTTTGTTTTTGAAGGAGGGCGTCCACACACTCCGATCCCCTCTCCCTTAGCTAACCTAAGTACTGAACACTTGAAAACTTTAATCTCTTCACAATGAAGCTTGTTTGATGTCAGTTTCTGTGAGCTCAAGGAGCACAGTACTAGAAAAATACCTTCATAATCTGTTTCTTAGAGAAGAAACTTGAGGTGGGATTTAAGATTGTGGAATGGAAGATATAGCCTGGTTTGTTAATTTTTAAAAGCCGTGTGTGTGTGCACATCCTAACTTATCCTCTTAATACATCTATACCATCGTAGCTTATCTATGTATAGAGTATGGAGCTGAGACCCGCGAGCTCCACGCAGCTCCCAGCACGGCCCATGCCCGTGGGAGAGCACTTCTCATGGGAAACCCAGGCTCCCCTTCTCGGCTCTGTCACCAATCACACCCCCAACTCAGGAGGAATGAAGGGTCAGGTCTGCACCAAACAGCCACATAATCAGTATTGATCTTGTCAACAACCATCCAAAATCTCTTTAGAGCGCAGGTCTGATAAATCTTTCCTTTTCTTGTCTAAAACATCAAGAACAAATCTGTAGGCAAGTTGTTTCCAGCTTGAAGGATGGATGCGTCATCTCAGGAACATGCTGACAGGTGGCTGTGAGGATGCTGTGGCATCGCTCACTGCTGAAATTCAACTGAATCCAGTTCCCTAACACAGGACTCTGGCCCCACGCCGGTATGTTTATGACACCAGCAAGAGCTTAGGGTGGATTCTGTCGCCGTAGAATCCCAAATCCCTCCCGTTTTGTGATACTAGGCAGCTGCTCTTACAGCCGGGGCTCTGGCGTCAAGTCATTGCTCCCACCCAGCTGTGAGCCCCCAGCCAGGTCATCCAGCTCTCTCCACCCCCGTGTCCTTCTCTGTAAAATGAGGGCAGTGCCGCTGCTTATTTCGTGGTTGTATTAAATAATTCATGGGAAGCACCAGAACAGTCCCTGCGGGAGGAGTACACATCCCATCAACACTGAGTTCTCTTCCCTTCTTGGGTTGCTGTTGTTTTATTACGACAGGAGGTGCAGGTGGTTTGAAAGGTGTAACATTTAGCAAGTCCTGTTGGCTTCAGGATCCCGATTCATATTTTAATTCCAAGATTCTGTTGCTGCCAGTTCCACAGTCAGACTTTGTGAAACACAGGTTCACTCTACAGAATCTGAAAGAGTAATCTTGATAACTAAATTTTGTAAATGAGGCATTAAAATTAGTATTAAAGGGACTTCCCTTGTGGCGCAGTGGTTAAGAATCCACCTGCCAACACAGGGGACATGGGTTCGAGCCCTGGTTCGGGAAGATCCCACATGCCGCGGAGCAACTAAGCCCGTGTACCACAACTACTGAGCCTGCGCTCTAGAGCCCGCGAGCCACAACTACCGAGCCTGTGCTCTAGAGCCCGCGAGCCACAACTACTGAACCTGCATGCCCAGAGCTACAAGAGAAGCTACACTCCGCTACAAGAGAAGCCACTGCAATGAGAAGCCTGTGCACCACAACGAAGAGTAGCCCCCACTCACCGCAACTAGAGAAACAAAGACTCAACACAGCCCAAAATTAAAAAATTGGCATTAAAAAGCATGTACATTTGCTCAGAACCCAATAAGCTCCTCCCAGGGCTGAAGTGAGGACTAAATGCTGTGGTGTCACCGAGCAGGACCTTGGATGCAGAGATGACAGAGACGCAGACACAGAGTGACCCTAACGTGAGCACCCTGCAGTGTCTCTCAATCTCAGTAAATATTCCTCAATGATGTAAAATACACATTCAGGGCAAAGGTTTGTTGAGGCAGTGCGAGAAATTTCTCAAGTTTTACATGTATACTGTTTATTGTTTTTGCTTTAAAAAGATACCCGATTAAAATATTAATAACCGGGTTTCCCTGGTGGCGCAGTGGCTGGGAGTCCGCCTGCCGATGCAGGGGACGCGGGTTCGTGCCCCAGTCTGGGAAGATCCCACATGCCGCGGAGCGGCTGGGCCCGTGAGCCATGGCCGCTGAGCCTGCGCATCCGGAGCCTGTGATCCGCAACGGGAGAGGCCACGACGGCGAGAGGCCCGCGTACCGAAAAAACAAAACAAAACAAAACAAATATTAATAACCATTAAAAACAAGTAAATTCACAGTTAATTATAAACTCAGTTAAAAGAAAATTTCCATTTGGATTAAATTTACCTTGTGAGTTATGAGGAAGTTGCACTTAACTGTCAACGATTCCATTCACACAGCATTCTGCTGTTCATAAATCCTGGCCTCTTATCCAAGAAAATACAGCTTTTTGGTAACATTTATGTAAACACTGAAGCCTACAGTATACATTTTTATTACCAATTTCTATAGTTATCGATACAAAAAGTTAATAAACTTGAACAACTGTTTAAAGTTGGGGGGAGCCCCCCTGGGGGGCGGCAGCCGCACTGCTGAACATCGTCTGCTCATCCTCAGCAGCAGAAGCATCATGGTCCAAACTCTAAACATGCCAATTCGGCGACTTATCAAAGTATCAAAACTACAAATGGTTTTATAGATCTGCTTACAACAAGCACCAATTTTAAATTGACCCTAAATGTGTAGTAAGGCAAAGAAATAAGCAAATGTCGATAAAACAAACATCCAGGAAGAATCGAAAAGAGGGCTTATGTTAGAGAAGGTCAGGTTTAAAAAACATGTTCACAAATGCAGAACAGTCCTCTGATTGCTCCATGTCATTTTTGATTTAAAAAAATTAAAAAGGTTATCACTACAGAAGGTCACAGCGATTCTACTGATGGACAATATCCAGGCTGGTCCATTTTTTAAAATTTGATTTTTCAGCAACGGCAAAAATACCACACAACTGGACCAACACAACAAGGGCTTCAGAGATCATTTAACAATGGAGATGGAGCAGAATAGGAGAGTTCTCTATTCATAAGACAGGAATATGGGCATGGAACAGCTTAAAGTGAGAAAATTCCAGGAAATGTCACGGGCATCATTTGAAACTGGTTCTGACACCTGAAGAAAGATTTACCTTCTAGGAAACTAGAGTTGGCCCCCCGCATTCCTGGTGGGGAGAATCGGGGAGGGGTGTAGAATCCTGGGTGTGGATCCGCGGGTACACAGGGCTGACTGTACCACCGTGTTATAGAAGGGGCTTGAGCATCCATGGATTTTAGCATCTGCCAGGGGGTCCTGGAACCAATCCCCTGCAGATTCGAGAGCCGTCTGTTCCACTTTAGAAAGTAAATCTAAGCTACGAGGCTTGAAAATCAGAGTCCAGCAGCATTGTAGATAGAAAGGTTGATTCTCATAATTATGATCAGGATGCATTTTATAAAAAACTATAAAACTTGAAAGGAAGAAGTGTTTTCCTAAAACAAAAAAACAACAACAACAGAAGAAAAGTAAGTTAGTTTGTTGCATGTTATTTAAAATAAGAGAAAAGGTTATTCCAGCCTTCATTTTCTTCTATTCCTGTTTCTGATCTACGTGGGCGTGCACTGCACGTCATTCCAAGTTTGAGAAGGAATCATCACTTCTCTAAGAAGAGGGGGCTCACTTATCATGTAAACAACTCACTCACTTCTTAAAAGACACAACTTCAGCAGGCCCAGGAAGCCCTCATTTGTGGCAGATTCTGCAACCCTCTTGGCTAGGGACCTCCCGTAGGCCCCTTACCCCTATTTAAGGGCAACACTTACCCCTATTTAAGGAAAAAAAGAAGGCAGTGCCAATCAGACCTCTGGCAGGGATTGAGAGACCTTCTTTTGTGTAAATTGGTTGGAAAGAAAGAGTTAACTGTTAGTTTCGATAAGTCAACATTTAAACACATACGCATATAAGAACAACATTAACTCTTACATAACTTTAAAAACTTTTTGCAATCATTATTTAAAAATTTCCAAGAGTCAGAAGCTGGTTGAGCTAGAAACTCTTTTGTTTTAACATTACACACGCAAAAGCTAATTCAAACCCTGCAAAGAATAAGCTCATTGTTAAGCTGATCCATTTTCAACTAAGACTTTGAGAATTTTAGTGGAAGGTAGAAAATCAAAAGGGAAAGCATCTACAAAAATGAAGGTCAAAATTTAACTCTAAAAGCTAGGAATTTCCGGTACAACAACGGACAATACAGTTTCATACTGGTCAATGCTGAAGTGATCTGTGTTGCATTGTGAGAAAACTAGAATGTCCTAGAAACCCTAACTGTGGAGGGATGGGTCACCGTGCAAAGACCAGGTGAGGGCACTGTATTTATGGACACTGTTAGGAAAGGTACGTGGCCCATAGCGGGGATTTCTCGAAGTCTCTAACAGGAGGAAATGATTCATGTAACAACAGAACAAAATCAATGAGGCTAAGGTTTGGGGCTCTTTCTAGCTATACTTTGTTTGTTTTTAATAAATTTATTTATTTTATTTATTTTATTTTTGGCTGCACTGGGTCTTCTTGCTGTGCGTGCGCTTCCTCTAGTTGTGGCGAGCAGGGGCTACTCTTCGTTGCGGTGCGCGGGCTTCTCGTTGCGGTGGCTTCTCTTGTTGCGGAGCACGGGCTCTAGGTGCGTGGGCTTCAGTAGTTGTGGCTCATGGGCTCTAGAGCGCAGGCTCAGTAGTTGTGGCGCACGGGCTTAGTTGCTCCGCGGCCTGTGGGGTCTTCCTGGACCAGGGCTCGAACCCGTGTCCCCTGCATTGGCAGGAGGATTCTTAACCACTGCGCCACTGGGGAAGCCCTCTAGCTATACTTCTCATTGTAATTTACTCGGGGTGACATCTGATATAAAGTTTGACTGTACACATACCTCTTTAGAGGTCATCCGATCTCATTAGAGGACAGCTAAACTAGAAAAAGAGTCTATTTGACAGTTTAAATACACTGGGGAAAAAGACAAGGAAAAGAGTCTATATACAATGTCTGCTTCAGGAAAATGATGTCTGTTAAAAAATCAGGAAGGAAAAAGCTTAATATTCAATGATAACTTCATGGTCATTTAAGACCCAGGGGTTTATAGAGAATCATAAGGAGGTCTAGCTGTCCCACAGGCCTGGAGAGGGAGTACGGGTGCATCTTCAGAGTCACTCAACTGCTGCTTCTGCTGGATCCGGACCACAGGATTCTGCAGCATCACCAGCTGAAGCTCCGTTTTCGCAAGTGACACAGCCCTCCAAAAAGGAACAAAAGCAGGCAGGTTATTTGATGTGAAGTCACCTGAAAAGTTGTTAAACCGGTAAAACGCCGGCCAAGCAACCTGTGTCTCATTCTCCCACTTATTCACATCTAAGAGTACGCATTACAGTTCATCCCTTATCATTAGAAGGGAAATGACAGCAATTGTTTAAATACTTTTGCTTAAATTGTTTGGGGGCTCATTCTTCATGTACTCTTCTCACAGAAATGCCTGCTCGGCATGAATCCTGAATCCTCTGGCGTGACCCTTACATCTTGAGCTTCAAGTCTTTTCAAACACGCACACACATGTGACACGCAAATCCCACACTCTCCTCCCCGCCAGTCACATATGAGCGCGGGCGCCTTCACTCCCAACTGCCCCGTAACATTCCAACTGGTGGAAGAAAAAGACACGTGGAGCCCAAAAGACCTGCATTCAAAATCTGAAGAACTGAGCGCTTACACAGTGTCCTTCAGTTTGTGCAGAGGGCTTGGTTCCTGAACGCCCTGAGGAGACAAAAATCTGTGGATGCTCAAGTCCTTATACAAATGCCTTGGTACAGTCAGCCCTCTGCACGCGAGAGTTCCGCATCCTTGGATTCAACCAACTACAGATTGAAATTTGAACCGTGGATATAGAGGGCTGAGTGTACAAATTATTTAGTATCTGTGTACCTCACTTTGTTGTTATTGGTAAAGCAGGGATAATAACACCTACCCCAGAAGCAACTGTGAAGAGTAAGATCTTCAGTGGGATCATGCAATGCACAGTCGGCCCTCTCTGCAGGTTCCACATCCACAGACTCAACCAGCCATAGATCGAAAATATTTGGGGGAAAAAAATTCCAGAAAGTTCCAAAAAGCAAAACTTAAATTTGCAGTGCACCAGCAACTATTTACATAGAATGTACGTTGAATTTACATCTGTTTAAATAGCATTTACATTGCATTAGGTATTATAAGTAATCTGGAGAGGATTTAAGGTATACGGGAGGACATAGGTTGCATAGGTTACACGCAAACACTACGTCATTTTACATGAGGGACTTGAGGATCCGCAGATTTTGGAACCCCAGGGGGTCCCGGAACTAGTCCCCTGCAGAAAACGAGGGATGACTGTACACTAAGCTCCCAGAACACTACCTGGCACAAAAACAGCAACACATGACAGCTGTTATTACTGGGCTTACCTGGATGTCTATTTCCTGAGGGATCGTCTGGCTCTGAAACCAGGAATGCACATTGGCCAGCTCCTCCCTTTGTCCGTGAGAAAACTGCGGCTGCCGCCGCCTCATGCTTTCCAGCTTTTCTAGGTCTTCTTTCAGTACAATTTCTTTAACCCTGAAAACAAACAAACAGACAAAATCTTCACAGTCCTAAATAAGGCACAGGGTCTTTATCTTGTGATCTAAGAACGGCACTTATTTTTACTTTGTAATATACTTTATATCTCCTGTTAACATGTGACGTACACATCAAAAATATAACAACTGACTCATTTCTTTGTCAGACTGGTAAAGCTAGCCCTCTTTCTCTTGATGGAAAATACCTGTATAGTGTTTTAATGAGTCATATGGAAGAAACAGATTTCCTTTACGTCTTCTCTCCTTTTAGAATGAGAGAAAAAAGTCCAGGCTCTAAAGAAAGTTCTCGTACCCGTGGGCTGTCTTGAAAAGCACTGCCTCTCTTTTGTTTTCTTGTCTCAGGACACATAACATATTTATATTGTCACTACCACTACAACCATTGTTTTAAGAAATCATTTGTCTTTTGACTTCAAATGAATGAATTTGAGAATACATTTCTCTAAGGATACGTATAAAAACATTAAAAATCATTTTGTATTAAAAAACACACTTAAGAAACCATAAAACACTTATATAAAGGTGGGTCTTCTAACATGCTTTCTTACCTCTCAGGCACCTGATACGTCATCAGAATGCACTCAGGTGTTTGTTCTATCATTCTCCAGGTGGACTCTTCAGCTAAGTTGGGAAATGTTTCTTTTTTCTGTACATCCTGAGATTGCTGCCCATTTTGAAAGATTTCAGAAGAATAATCACGAGTAGCAAAGTGTACACTGCTGCCACTGCTTCCTATCAAAAATCAACAACAAAAAAATTTGGAAATACCCGTCAGGGGCTGATTTGCCAAGCTGGCCCTCATTCTTCAAAGACTTTGGCAACTAGCTGGTAGGGTCCTTCACCACCCGGCGCAGCCATCATCCCAGGTCACCTCAGCCTTCCAGTTCCTCGATCTTTCCAAGATCTCCTTCTCAGTCTTCCTGAACTATCCTCCCCCCAAGGCCATTTCTTGCTTGTTCTCATCAGCCACAGCTGCTCCGTCTCCAAAGTCACCAACCTCTCAGCTCCACTTTCTTGTTTGTTTGTTCTACTGTTCCAACTACAAATCGGGGACAGTGCCTTAGCCATTCTGCTTAGAGCCCAAAGCCCATCATTCCTTCAGTAGCACTCTGCAATGCCTGAGACTTCTTTTTCCCTTTAGTTTTCCACAACTATCAAAATGTAACTCTGATAAAGCCACTTATCAATTCTGTTCTCATCTAAGCCCAAGGAGCCAAAGGCATCGAGAAGGTCACGCACAACAGGGTGCATTGGTTCTACAGTAAACTCATCACCACCCGAGGATCGTCACAAAGCCCGTAATCCTGGTACAGTTCTGTGGTCAGCGCACTAGTCTATCCCCAGCAGGATTATCTTCCACTCCTCTATTTCCTCCCTCACTCTCACCTGTTTTTTAAGGGAAAAAAAAAAGGAAGCCACTAGAAAGGAAATTCATCATCCTGATACCAAACATAAACTTACTCATATCTACATTCTCTCCTCACCGTCCTCCTGTTACAACAGAGAAGACATCCATCCATCCCAAGGCCCATCGCTTTATGGCTGTTATGGAGCCTCATGGATCATTCCTTTCCTATCTTGCATGTGACCCTTCAAGGTCCTTCTCACTGACTTTGGAACAATTAAAACAAAACAAAACAAAGTACCTCTCTAATTTTTTAAAAAAGGGTATGGGTAAACATAAAAGACATTTTTCCTCATTAGAAAAACCTCATTAAAAGGTAACTGTTTAAGGCAAAAACCGTAAAACTTCTATTGTGGGGTTTATGATACATGTTGTAGTAAAGTGTATGACAGAAATGGCACAAAAGAGGGAAAATGGAAGTACTCTGTTTTAAGGTTCTTAGACATAAAGTGATAGAATAGGTATAATATGTGAAGGTAAACTGGGATAAGTAAAAGATGCATGTGTAAATCCTAGAGCAATGACTAAAAAAAAAAAGGAAAAAAGGAAAAAAAAAAAAAAAGAATAGCTGGGAGGCCAATAACGGAGAGAAAACAGAATCATTAAAAATACACAATTAACCCAAAAGGAGGAGGGGAAGAGAAAAAAGGAAGAAAGAGCAAATGAGACAAACATAAAACAAGTAGCAAGATGGAAGATTTAATGTAAACCTGATCATATCAATAATCATATTAAATGTAAATGGTCTAAGTACTCCAATTAAAAGTCAGAGACTGTCACATAGATAAAGAAGCAATACCCAACCATACACTGGTTACCAGAAATCAACTTTAAATATAAAGACACAGATAAAAGTAAAAAGATGGAAAAAAATATGCCATGTAAACACTACCAAAATAAAGCTGGAAGAGCTACACTGATATCAGACAAAGTGGACATCAACAAAGGTACATTTCATAACAGAGAAATCAATTCATCAAAAGCACATAATCTTAAATGTGTATGCAACTAATAAAAGAGCTTCAAAATACATGAAGCAAAAACGGATTGAACAGCAAGAAAAAAACAGACAAATTCACAATTATAGGTGGACATGTTAACAGCCCTATCTTAATAACTGAGAAAACAAGTAGATAGAAACTCAGTTAGGATGTAGAAGGCTGAATCAACATTATCAGCCAACTTGACCAAATTTACATTTACAGAAGATGCTACTCAACAACTGCAGAACACACATTCTTTCCAAGTGCATATGAAACATTTATCAAGACAGACCAAATTCTGAACTATTAAGCCTCAGTAAATTAAAAAAAAATACAAAGAATGTTGTCCGACTGCAATTAAGTTAGTAACCAATAAAATACCTGGAAAATCCCCAAATATTAGGAAATAAATACATGTCTAATAACCCATGGTCAAAGAAGAAAACATAAGGGAAATTATAAAATATTTTGGACTGAATGAAAATGAAAACACTCATACAAAAATTTGAGGGATGCAGCTAAAGCTGTGCTTAGAGGGAAATATAAAACCTTAAATGTTTATATTAGGAGGGGAAAAAAGGGTCTCAAATCAATGCTCTAAGCTTCCACCTTAAGAAATTAGAAAAAGAGTGAATAAAATCCAAAGTAAACACATGAAATAATAAAGATTAGAGCAGAAATCAATAAAATACAAGACCAAAAAAAAATAGCAAATAAACCCAATGAGATCAAAAGTTGCTTCCTTGAAAAGTTAATAAAAGTGGTAAACATAGAGCCAGAATGATAAGGAAAAAGTAATAATATCAGCAAATAGAGAGGAGAGGAGACATTAGTATAAATTCTAAAGACATTAAAAGGATAGGGACTATTATAAATAACTTTATGCCAATAAATTCAACAACTTAGATGAAATGGACAATGGAGTTGTATCATCTTGAATGATACAAATTACCAAAGATCATTCTTTGGAAGAAATAGATAACCTGAGTCTATTAACCATGTCTATTAAAAAAAAATCAAATTTGTTTTTAAAAACCCTTTCATAAGGGTTTTCATAAAACTTCTGGCCTAGATAGCTTCACTGGTGAATTCTACCAACCGTACTAAGGAAGATATAATATCAATTCAATACAAACTCTTCCAGAAAACAGAAGAGGAGGGAACAGTGCCCAACTCATTTCTTTTGTTAGGCCAGTATTACCTTGATACCAAAACCAGATAAAGACATCATAAGAAAAGAAGACAATGGACCAATATTTCTCATAATAGGTGCAAGAATCCTTAAAATATTAGGATATAGAAACCGGTAATATATAAAAAGGATAAAATAGCATGACCAAATACAAGGTTAATTTAATATTTGAAAATTAGTTAATGTAATTTACCATATTAACAGAACAAGGGAGAAAAACCATATGGTTAATCTCAGTAGAGGCAGAAGGGCTTCTCTGGTGGCAGGGGTTAAGAATCCACCTGCCAAGGCAGGGGACACAGGTTCGAGCCCTGATCTGGGAAGATCCCACATGCCACAGGGCAACTAAGCCTGTGTGCCACAACTACTGAGCCTGAGCTCTAAAGCCCGCGAGTCACAACTACTGAGCCCATGTGCCACAACTACTGAAGCCCTCGTTCCTAGAGCCCATGCTCCACAACAAGAGAAGCCACCGCAATGAGAAGGCCGCGCACTGCAACGAAGAGTAGCCCCTGCTCGCCACAACTAAAGAAAGCCCACGTGCAGCAACGAAGACCCAATGCAGCCAAAAATAAATAAATAAATAAATTTATTTTAATAAATAGATGCAGAAAAAGCATCTCTGTAAATCTGCAGCAGAAAGGTACTTCCTCAATCTTCCTGAAGGCCATTTAAGGAAAACCTACATTTAACATCATACTTACTGAAACTGTGACAGATTTCCCCCTAAGATGATGAACAAGGCAAGAATGTCTGTCTAACCACTTCTATTCAATACGTAAGCCCCTTACATATGAACGAGTTCCGTTCTGAAAGCATGTTCCTAAGTCCAATTTGTTTGTAAGTCCAACAAAGTTAGCGAGGTACCCAACTAACACAATCGGCTATATAGTACTGTGCTGTAATAGGTTTATAATACTTTTCACACAAATAATGCATAAAAAACAAACACAAAAAATAAAGAAAACATTTTTAATCTTACAGTACTGTCCCTTGAAAAGTACACTAGTCCAGTACAACAGCTGGCATCCAGGGGCTGGCATTGAGTGAACAGGCAAGAAGAGCTACTGACTGAAGGAGGGAGAGGAGGTGGGAGATGGTAGAGCTGAAGGGCCATCAGCAGTAGGAGACCGGGGGCAAGCTACAATGTCACTCACGCCTGATGCTGACAGAACGCACGTTCCCACCTTTGAAAATTCGCAACTTGAAGGTTCATATGTAGGGGACATACTGTACTATACTGTGGGTCCTAGCCAGTCCCAAAAGGAAAGACAAATAAATTAAGGGTATACAGATCAGAAAAGAAAGAAGTAAAAGTATGCCACCTTTTGAGAATACAAGTTCGAAACACAAAATTTGATTGGCTTTCTATACGCTAACAACAAGCAATTGGAAATTGAAATTTTAAAATGCCATTTACAATAGCATGAAAATTATGAAATCCTTAGTGATAAACTTAGTAAAGTAAGTGTAACCTATACACTGAAAACTACAAAACATTGCTGAGAAAAATTAAAGACCTACAGAAATAAAGAAACAGATGACACTCGTGGATCAGAGGACTCAATACTGTTAGGGTAATAATTCCTCCCACATTGGTCAGTAGATTCAACATGAAGTCAATCAAAATCCCAGCCGGCTTTTGTGTAGGAAGTAAGAAACTGATTCTACAACTTATTTATTTTTAAATCTTTTTTTTTTTTTATCGTGGTAGCATTGGTTTATGACATTTATAAGTTTCATGTGTACATTGTTATTTCTACTTCTGTATACATTACAGCATGCTCATCACCAAAAACGTAGTTTCCATTACCATATATCTGACCCCCTTTATCCACTTAGCACCCCCCTTTCCCTCTGGTAACCACTATTCTGTTCTCTGTAACTACAGAGTATTTGTTTTTGTGTTTTTCTTCATTTTTTCGGTCTGTTTGTTTTTTATATTCTACACATGAGTGAAATCATACAGTATTTGTCTTTCTCCTCTGCTTTATTTCACCTAGCATAATACCCTCGAAGTCCATCTTGCTGCAAATGGCAAGATTTCCTCTTTTTATGGCTTAATAGTATTCCATTGTGTGTACTGTATATAAATGTATTTTAAAATTAAAAAAAATATATTTAATATACATCACTTCTTTATCCATTCATC